ATATATTAAATAAATATTCTAAATACTCATTCTCAATATTCCTCTTCCAATATATTAAATAAATTATTTTATGATTATGTATAAATTCATTATAACACGTACATACAAATCGGAATTTTTTATTTTTTGAATTTATTACACAAAAATCCTGATTGGTGACACATAGTAAAACGGGGAATTACTTATGTAAAATAGTCAATATTTTTAATGGTTACACAAGATATGAAATTAAAAAGCAAGATTTATTATATGATGGCATATAATAAACAGTAATGGAGGTATGACTTTATTGATTATCAAGATTTTATTATGATATGAAATTATCGAATAGGATTTTAATATAAGTGGCATTGATTCCTGAAAAAATTATGAATTTAGGCAATTATGAATTTATCAAATATGAATTTAACAAGCTTTGACTGTATATATAAAAATTATAAATTTTGTTTATTGTAAAAATCTTCAAGCCAATGAATTTGATTTTTGTGTGATTTTTTGGAGGGTGATCATTGTAAAATTTAGCCAATGAAATCAAGTCACAATCTGATAAATGAATGTCCATTATGCTACAAAAACCCAGTTCAGTCCCCTACCCAAAATTATAAATTGGTTAGTATCAGAGAAACAGAGAATTTATGAAAATAATTATACAAAACAGACACTATTTTACAACTTTTTTCAGAGTTCAAATGCAATTTCAGGGCCACAAACCTTGCTCTGGATTGTGGCCTCCTGTGCTTTAACAAGCTGCAGATTCTCTTAATATTCCTCCAGAGTTGCTTCAGCTTGGTTACAGAGCCATCCTTACCCTAAAAGTGGGATCGTTGCAGGCAACTTTTCAGCTAGTGTGCCAGCAGTCTTCTCTGATCTGGTGCTGTAAGGGAAGATTAGTGAAAATATCCTTGACAATGACGCAGTTTTGGTAAACTCCAGAGCAGCATAGTGGACATTCGTTTTATCACATGTGACAAAATCGATCATTGATCTTTTTTATGTTGTGAAACATATGACTT